ATGATTGCACAATTCTGCTTAACCTGATTGAACTATGGAATTGTATGATATGTAAATGATGCGCCAACTAAACTGTTGATGGTAAAAAAAGAGTCTGTACTTTTCAAAGGCTTGAGCAACCCTAGTCTTACCACCACTGCTCTGCTCTTTAGCTTCTCCACGTTTCAGGAAGCTGGCCCAGCACCCAACACTGCCACCGGGAAGCCTAGGTCTCCCACTGGCTCACGGGCCATCCACAGGCTCTCGCTGCATCAGGGGCAGGGACAGCACCTGTATCGGGGGCGGGTGTTCACTCTTTGGAGCGCAGGGTGGTGGTGTGCAGTGTGCCGGAGCTTCTGCTACGATGAAAGTTCGGGAGGGGAGAGAAGTCTAATGCTCCAGACAAAACTGGATCACACCTGTGTGTGCACGTCTTTCCACCGTTTGTGAAGTTCTCCTCGCCCACCCGTGTGTCAATATTCTCACAGCTTCTAAGCCTCCCTTCAAACACATCCTGCCACCTCTGACTCAGCCAGAAGTTATTTCTACACCACCTTCAAGATCTCAGACAACACTGGCCACAAATGGAGTGTTTTCACTGTGTGTGTGTGTGTGTGTGTGTGTGTGTGTGTGTGTGTCTCATTGGTCCTCTTTTCCATTGTGGCTTCTGCAAACAGATGGTCTAGTTTATTCATGGTTAGCTGGCTTGGTTGAAAGTTTAGTGCCTGGAACGTGATTTTAGGTTCAAAAAAACAAACCAGGAAATAAAACCCAAAGCAATACTGACTGGTGATGTGAACAACAAAGGAAGGAAGATCCCTGCTCTTGGGAGCCCATGTCTGTGCATGACAGGATGACCTCAGTCACTCAGTAGCCACAAGTGCACGGCCAATCCCAGCCTCACTGCCCAGTCATCAGGTCCTTGTCTCTCTACCAGGCACGAGTATTCTCAGATCCTTGTCTATCGGGCCCTTCCCGGGTTCTAGACTAGCATGGTCCACTACGGTTTCTAAAGACTCACTGCCATCAAATGGATTCCAGCTTCTAGTGACCAAACCCTGAGGGCAGTTTGAACTGCCCCCGTGGATTTCTGAGACTCAACTCTTCACAGGAATAGAAGTCTCATCTTTTTCCAGAGGAGCAGCTGGTGGCTTCAAACTGCTGACCTTGTGGTTTGCAGCCTGAGATAGTTAAGGTTTATTGTGCCAACCTGGCCGATAAACACGTGTGGGAATAATCCAAGGGCAGAGGGATAAATGGCAGTGAGCCTCACCTTTCTGGTTCTTGGGTCTCTTGCTCTCTGATGGTCGGACCAGGGTACAGCTGCCTTAGCCAGTTCCCTGCTTCAGCTGGCAAGGCTCATTTCCTGCCGGACATCCCTGAGAACCCACATGGACCTACCGTGATACAGCCCTAGGTGCTGGAGAGCCATGTGGAGACAGCTGCCAGCGCTGAGATGCTTACACATTCACTGATTCAAATTTCCTCCTGCAGTCGGCATCAGAGTGTGTGTTTTGTGAGATGGAGGAGGACTTTGTAGATTGGTGTTGGACATAAGGGCTCATGTTGGACTGATGGGCTTGGACAGCACTGGGTTGGGATGCTTTCCTCAATGTACACTTATCCTTTATATAAAACTCCCTCTTATACATGTGAGTTTCTGTGGATTTGTTTCTCTAGTCTGTCCAGACCAACACCCACTGACTGTGGCGATGATTGTACAGCTCTTTTCTGGGTGTCTCTGAACTACTGAATTGTATGATGCGTGAATTATATGCCAAGGAAACTTTTTTTTAAGTTCATGTAAAACTTCCCCCACCCCACCCCCTCAAAAAAGAAAGAAAGCTGAATAGACCCCCTGACTTCTCATTAGAATTCCCAAGGGAAACCTTCCCCCAGACAACGTCTTTACAACGAGCCTCATCAAATCGAAGAATACAAAACAAACAGCTATGGGCCATCCAGAGACAAGTATGAGAAGATCTATGTAAAGCATTACTTACAGCGCTACATATTTGGGTCACTCATGTCTTCCTCAAAGATTTGAGCAACAACTTGAGAATTCACACACACACACACACACACACACACACACACAGAGAAAACCAGCAGCAAGCGACGAGGTGACGGTACCTTGTGATGACGTGCAGGAAGTATGGGGTGAGCACAGCCTGCTGAGACGTCTCGGGGTACTGATAGACTGACAGCAGCTCCACAGACTTGGCCACCATGTAGAGATAGCCCACGTGGGGCAGCGAGAAAAAACAGAAGACACTCAGCAACTCTTTCGCCTCAGGTGGATTTTTCCCATTGGAAGTAAGAGAACCTGCACTCAGAAAGGACAGCAATTAAAACACGTCGGAAACAGTAAGTTAAGGGAAATCAATTAATATTTGGCCTTTTCTAGGCAAACTGAGTGGGTAATGGGAAGCTGCTCGTTATGGGAGAAATCCAGTGATAAATGAAAGGGGGGGTTTGATATCACTGGATACCACTTAGCGGCTCTTAATACATCAGCAGGTCTAG